ATATTATACTTACAACTGGCGTAATTTATCGGCTGCCGACTATGTATAGCGGCGGAATACCTTCAATTAAGGGGGGGGGGCACTGCCGACTTTTGGTCCCATTTTTTTCGTGCAACGCCCATAGGGCTAATGCCAAAATCAAAGGGGGGCACGGTGCCCCGGTGCCCTCCCCGTTCCGCCGCCTATGGCTGCCGATGTCAATTTCAGCATCTGCCGGAACAGCTTGAACAGTGGGACCTGGAAGACAGGTAAGCCTGCGATGCGACACTGCCCACGCTTCCCTCCATCAATGTGCATCAGAATCAGACAAACTGAACTCTCTGTTCCCCCTCGGTCCCTAGGTCTCAACCCTCAACTCATTCCTTGCAATGCTCACCCTCCGGAGTCCGGAGTGTATTGGCGACGGTGACATTGGCGTCGGTCAGTGGCTGCCGGCGGACAGGGCTATTTTACACAGCCCGACGGCCGCTGGAGTTGGCCAACTAGCCGCTCGGCCGGACACCCGTGAGCACATCTGCAGCGCCCCGCGGCGACACTTCCCAACTGGAGAGTGGGTCGCCGGTGGCCGGCGAAAATTGGTGGTTAGCTGTGCCGTGCGATACCCGACATGGGAGGATAAATGGTTGGCCGCCCCTGTCTGAGGCGACACGGCCCGGTCCAAATTAGCTCCCGGTCCGGCAGCTGGTCGGGCCGACATCACACCTGGCACAGACGGGATACCGTAACATGTAACAGACATCATAGCCTAGACGGGACATCATTATCAATAGTATCGACTGGACATCTGATAACATAGACGGTGCGCCAACACATTAGAGTAGACCAGACATCATAACAAAGAAGGAAGATATAGCATACCTACACTAGACATCGTACCTAAGTCAGGGTATCACATCATAGACCGAATATCGCAACCTAGAACACCACAATAGACTGAACAGCATAGCATAGACGAGACATCATAAGACTGGACACCATTAGCATAGACGGGACGGGACAGCGTAGCACAGGTCATCGGCACATACTTTTAGCAAACGTAAGTGCCATTGTAGACGGGGCATCACAACACAAATGCCGGATAATCAACTCATTGCATCAAACGAAGGCGAACATTATAAGTTAAAACATAGACAACGCATCATCCCAGCATTGGCCGGGTAGTCAGATAAATTAATCTGTCGTCCATACCTTTTCTAAATAAACTCGTTTCAAGCCGCTCGGTGTATCGATAGCGCACGGTACAGTCGGTACATAAAATGATCGACGTCTCGTCACGTTATAGATGTGACCTACCATGACCATCTCGGCCACACTCTGGCCGGGCGCAGTACCTACCAGACCGGCGCTCGGTGTCGTCGGTCGCGTTATTCAATCACCGGCTGCCGTCTCCTAGCGGTCCCAAGTTAGTTCCCATCAAAGACGGCGAGCTGCTTCCGTATCACAGCTTGCCGCAGCCATTTCTGCCGGGCACACTCAGCATAACAACATCGACTTTACTGTGTGGATCGAGCCACAGCGGCTTGCGATAAGTGACACGATTCGTCGCGACCAAACCGATATAGCTCATCCATCCGAACCCCAGAGGAATGCCGAATGACTCTGTGGGCTGCCATTGTCCGTTTTCACGATGGTTATCTGATACCTACACATTTAGTGCAGATTAGGTGCAGATTTTTAATATAAGCGAGCACGCGGTTTCATTCGTTGCAGCGTGATACCTACAGCAGATCTGCATTACGACTCGCTAATTACCTATATGTATCGCAATGCCAGCCCTCTGTCTTCTGCAGTCCCCCTTCTTCCCGTGTCTGGGATCTCTCTCTCTCTCTCTCTCTCTCCGTGGGGTTTGTCGGAGAGGGACGGGCTGGTCGTCTCCAGCCAGGCCTGTATTAAATACCCATTTCAGAGAGCCGTCCTCTGAGGCGCGCCGTGGGTCGCGTGGGACGACACGAGCCGTCCGCTGGGACAGCCGGGACAGCCTGGAATGAGACGAGGCTCGCTTGACTTTGGAAGTCACCAGCGGGCTTAGCTTATCACGGTAGCTGGATGAAAACCGTTTTTTCCAAATTAAACCGCACATTAGAAAATTAAACAAGATATTAATCTAAAGTTAGTGACTCATCAAGTAGGTACTTGATAGTTATGCCAATAATGAGGTAGGCTCCTACTGAAAAAGATAAGCCTTGCAAAAGATAACTTTAAAAAGGAGCCAAGCAAAAACAAACCGCCTTTCAGTGCGAATTATCCGAACATTTTCCCATAAATCATTCAGGAGCCTTTTCCTTATCTAAATATTTCGGCCGATCCAATTCGGTGCGAAGCCGCGGAAAACTTTCTCAGCCGCGGCGTCAAAACAATAACATGCCGGCAGTATCGGCTCCAGTGGACGGCGCACAGCGAGTGGAGGCGGCGGACCGCGCCCCGGCCGCGGCGGGCTACCCCTGCTACATCGGGGAAAGGACGGCCATTTACAGCCGCAGGGACCGAGCTCAGCCTCACAGTCGAGGTGGCTGGCTCTACACATTCAGTTGTCATTTAGATCCGGATAAAAAGTTGACTATGAACACGAAAGTCGTCTTTCGAAAAGATGTGTTAAAAGCTGTGTATGTCTAATGTTGACGTGCTTTTACCGAAAAGAACATCAACTTATATTGAGTAAATTTACAAAATATCGAATAAGAGAAGTAGATAGATTCAGTTACTTGCGTTTTTAAAGCTATTTAACATCCATTCGATGCCTATTTGTCGCGATCGTAAAATAGCATTTATTTGGGGCAGACGTGTCCTTTGTGTGTGCGATCTTTGTGTGCCTAACATCTCCAGGGCTTTATGATAGAAGAGCTCCATATGGTTTACAAATTAAGACGAAAGATACTTCAGCAACTTTCGATCCAACTCACAAGCCAACTTTCCTCACCGCAACAACTTGGCGCGCGCGGGAACTTTGCGGGCGAATATTAGCGGCGGCAGGCTGTCGGAGTGGAGGTGGGGGTAAGGGGGGGGGGGGGCGTCGGGACGCGTGGTGCTACGTGCGCCTTTGAACTTAAAAGAAATAAAATTACATTCTTAACATGAATTTGGTCATCTGGCAGGTGACGGTTCTGGGTAAAACCTCACGTTAATACAGTATAATTCAGAGTGTTCCAGGATAATATTTTAATCGTGTATGCCTACTTGCAGTGACATATATTTCCAAGAATACCAGAACGAATTTTTGCATAAGCTGCGTTGCAGATCTCTTGGCCTGCAGCTTCCCCTCGTTTGGAGCCTCTGTTGCCTGTTTGGGATTAATTCCGAATAAATTTGGCTGTTTGAACCGAGGCTATATAAAGGCTATATACACAATCACGTCCACAACCGACATGTCCGAACAAAACGACATATTGTGAACTGTGCATTGAACATAACATGAAATAAATATTGCTGCAATTCTAGAACAAAAGTTACTATTAGCGCTATCATTTACTCGATTAATTAACACTTAACAATTCGGGCAATTTCGTACAGTAATTCAGACGCAACGTTTAACCCGCGCCCCGCTGGGCTATTCAGCCATACGCGCCCTGCTGGGGGGGGGGGGGGGCAGATTCTGCCCCCCCCCCCTGTCGAACTTCCGAACCGATGGTCGTAGAAAGACGGGGAAAACGGCAATCGAAAGCTCTTAACAAGGTGGATCTTAAGAGCCAAATTTTGTTTTGCTTAAGTAGGTCAGAGGTCAGGTCAAGGTCAGGTCAAGGGTACAAAATGCAAGTTTCTACAGTATCGGCCTTGCATCGTAGTTGCCGATGAATGGACTGAGACTGATTGCCCAAAACGTGTTCTTAGACTACCAAGACAATGTTCGTTGCATACAATGTCATTCAAAGGTCAAGGTCAAGGTCAGTTCAGGTCAGGTCAGGTCACCAAAAACAAAATATAGAAAAGGGCATGTGCGACACACGTTTTATGGGTCATTTTACTCATAGAATTCAATAGGCACACTCAATAAGTGATATGGACCACCTCTGGATGAATTTCAGGTCGAGGTCAGGTCAAGGTCAGGTCAAGTAAGGTAAATTTTGAAGTTGGTTGTTAAGGCCTAAAAAGGTGTCTATCTGACGTAGTTTTTCACGGCGAATCGAATGGTGCTATTTTTGTTTCCGTACGAGGTCTAGAACTTCCAAAAAAATCATTTTTCAAAATTTTTGTGTGTCGTGACGTCATAAAATTTTGAATAACTCCCACATTTTTGAACCGATTCTCCTAAAAATTGGTATGTAGGTGCACATAGACCACTTCTCTGACATATATTCCGTTTTTTTCGATACACTCAAAATTTTGGATTTTTTAATTATTTTCCCAAAAAAGTCAGTTTTTTAAGAAAAAAAAATGGGCCAAAATCCAAAATTTTCAAAAAACCGAGATAGCCATTTGATAGAAAAAGTAGAATCACATATAACCTTTTTTGTTACGTGTTGATTCCTTGAAAAATGAAGATGTTAGCGGCGTTTGAAATTTTGCCGTTTTTGAGGCGAAAATGGCGAACATGACGTCACTAAAACGTTAATTTCTCAAAAATTGTCCGACGGATTTCGCCCAAATTTTCAGGGTACGCGTCAAATTGACGTATGATAAGGTACTGATAGTTTGACGTTGCTGGCGTAACGCGTTTAGAAGTTATTGGCGAAAAACGGGAGGGGGCAGATTCTGCCCCCCCCCCCCAGCGGGGCGCGGGCATACCGGCTGTTCACGTCTCCGGCGCTCAACAAGTCGATCTCATCACAAAGATCGCTCCGTCCACACGGTCCGTCACGGGGGAACCCACAGCCACAGCTCGGCCGCCAAACATCCCCGGACTCACGAGCAGCCCGACTCCGCGGTGCTCACTATGCCTAGCGAAAGTAAACACGTACATAAATCAAACTCGAACAAACAGCTATATTACGTTAATGAATCGATCAGCATGTTTATAGCAATATCAAGGAAGAACAAAGCATAATTCAAATACAGAATCCACTTACAGTTCGCGCAGCTCCAGCTCACACGTCCGCCCCTCAGCACACTGGGCACAAAACAACGCCCTCTACTCGGCCCGCACAAGGGTCACGCTTGGTCACGTGACCACGGCCAGCTGCCACGTCGGACTCCCCCGACTCAGCTAGAGCTGCAAGTTTAACTACTGACGTGTGGCATCAATGGAAGGGTGAGGGATTAAATGCGGACCGCGGGCGCCATTAACATATATATATATATATATATATATATATATATATATATATATATATATATATATATATATATATATATAGTTATTTATGAAAGAGACATCATACAGATTACGGACATCCTTGAACGGTGTTTTTTGTGACAGATATGAGGAATTATTACATAAAATATGAAGGCGAGGTGAGGAAAATTTATTTGAGAACTGCGCTAAGCGACATTAGAGTTCGGCCGTGTGATGTGAAACCGCGTGGCCGGCCGACGCCCAGGATCGACGTTACAGAGACGCAGCGGAACTCGGCTCATTGTTTGTGAAAAAAGGCCAGTTGTTTATGCAGATTAGTGGACATCTCCACAATGAGGTACTGGTCTTATTCCCTATCGGTATTATATACACGTCCCTCTCTTTTTCGAGTTGACATCCAGAAACATTAGCATGCAGCGCACATGCCGCTCTGACGGTTTGTCGTGGGCTTATTGCCGAGAGACCGGGCCGCTTAGTGGGCAATGCTGCAGCGAAAATGAAGCGCCCGCGTGGTACGGACGAGACTACATCGGCCACAGACGGCCTCATCAGCGGCTGTACTGGGCCTTTGTAAAATTTCAATGGGTGTTGGCTGGCGGTTTGTCCGCGGGGCCGCCGTTCAGCGCTTCATTGACGATGGCGTTGGCTGCTATGTGGTCGTCTCAATCAGAAATGGCCTGAACGATTTTCAGGGTAGCAGATGATATCGTCCGAAGGTGCAGCTAGTAGATGATCTTTTTTTTCTCTTCATTTTGAAAGCATTATTTCACACTGAAGCAAGGGAATACATAACTTGATTTTGAAAGAAAACTGTTTTCGCCATCAGATCATCAGATCACATAACCTTCTCCATTCAGCTTAGGTTGAAATGACAAATTCAAATGATCATTGGTTAGCAGTTTCTATATGAGGTCTTTAATTTCTCAGCTTGTTCAGTAATAATGTCACATCTGACATTTTTTAGTGGTGCGTGGATCGATCAATACCAGCTGCGATGAAGTGCTCGCTCATTCCATAGCTCCGTTCAAATGGCGCCGTTCGCCTATTCGCCCAATATCTGGCCACTCCCTGTAAATAACGAAAACGAGGCGATCGCTGGCAGAAAGTGGAGGCAAAAATGTTCTTATCAAGAAGATTGGGCTCTTAACACATGAATTGTTTGACGCAAAGTGTGAACGCGCCATTCTGATAAAAAGTTTCAGCGCAACACAATAGCCTTTTCCCAATTTATGACTCTCAAGAGGCCAAAAAGGGATAATGCATGCTGGGACAGACCGTCCAAGGTCTTTACATAATATGCATCTACTAACTATTCAAAATACTTTTTTTTGCATACTGATTGCTCACTGTTGGGCACAATAGATATGGTAGGTACTAAAGATGTCAATCGGATACCGACTTTTTGGTATACCGATACCAAACCGATACCAACTTGATGTTCGGTTTTTCAATCCTAATGTGTTTGGTATTTTGTTGGTATCATGAACCCCCACTAATGTATAAGAGGCTAAGAAATCGGTAAAAAGTTAGTATTTCCCTCATGTTCCCAAGTTGGTTTGGTTTCGATATTTGTCCACGGTTTTGGTTGGTATTTGGTTTGGCATCGGTATTCCGATTTTCCGTAACTGACATCACTAGTAGGTACTAGATAGATAGACAGATATAGTTTTTGATAGGTTGCTAGGCTATTTGTAAGTAAATCTTGTTTAACTAGGTATAGATCAACCGAGAGCCGGCACAAAAAGATTCATGGTGTACTCATGGTGTACTCTGTCTTCCGGTATTGACAATTGAATCCGGTCCTGGGTCCGTTCCCCTCCGTCCCTATTGGTTTAAGTGACTTACAAATCCCACATACTTTATGCAATATGCATGTATTCTAGGAAACAATTATTCTCACACTCTATCCATGCTACCTTAGCTTCACAGTCCTCTTGTTCTGGCTATTATTTTTCATTTTAATAAAATTGTAATGTAAAAGTAAGCTACTTGCTTATCTTCTTTCATTGCCGTTGGAGTCGTGATATGCTTGTTTCTCGGCCAGGAGGGGTAGTCCCGACTTACGACACGGCCGAACGACCCGTGCTGGGCTCTCGTTCGTCTCAATAAACGGTCGCGCTCGGACGCTTCAGCCGTCTCCTGAATTTGTGCTGGTCTATCGCTGTCATTTGAAAATGCGAGCCACGCAAACAAGGGCAATCTATTTAACCCAGCTAACAGGAAACGTTACTACAACGTTGTCACAACGTCGTGTTTCGGTAAGTTGCGAAATTACGTTTTAATTAGGTTGTAGCAACGTTCTGAACGTTGTGAAGCCATGGTTTGGTCCGAAAGTCGTGGTAAAACGTCGTGACAACGTTTTATTGGTACGTTGCAGCAACCGCGCACTTGCAGCATTATATTTTGATAATGCATGGTGACATATATGGCCATATAATGCATTTCCTTTGACTTTCAATGCGCATATTCAGTTTTCATCGTTAAATTTGACATATTTTAACACTTGGACTGTTCACGTTGTCAGCTGGTGGTCGCCAACACGTTGTTAAAACGGTTTTTCACAACCTTGACATTATAGGTACTGAATAATTAGCGGTGTTTTTACAAGTAAATTCTGATACCTTTCTCTCTCTATCTCTCTCTAATATATATATATATATATATATATATATATATATATATATATATATATATATATATATATATATATATATATATATAACATGTGTAAATTGCAAAGCCAAAGCGTCATTGGCATGTTTTGCAACATCACAGGCGGAGCTAGAGGCTTGCAACTATCCCTATGTAAACGCGGCTGTTATCCGCGGCTGCCAGCAAGCCACGCGGGCCGCCACTCAGGCGAACGGTGGCTCGCGCCCTGACCTCGCCTGAGGGGCCGTGACGTCAGTGTCACCGGCCGGCGTTCAGAGCCAGCCGGCCGAGCCGCAGTCTACGCGGCGCGAGCGAGCAGTGAGGGCCGGCGGCGGGCGCGGCTGAGATAGCTGGAAGATGAAAGATAGCGCCAGTTGTCTGCGTTTGATGTGATTGTTGCTTTGACTGGTAAGTCAAAGTACCATTTATGAGTAGCATTTGCAAGATTGCGCCTTGTAATATCGTGCGGTCTAGGCTATAGTTCATTGTAGCTCTAGCCTCTAAGGTGTTGACATGTTTGATCTAGCCTGTCGCACTGTTACGGAAAGTGGTGCAGGTATTTTCGTGATTTTTTCATGAATTGAATGTCTGATTTTCCCTCATGTCTTCCCGCAGACGTCCTGCAACTCGTCAGCGCGCCTTGTGGCAGGCCTACTGTCGGCAATGCTGTAGCGAAGTGGCTGTCCGGAAGCTGCGACCGGAACGGGGGGTGCGCAGACCGTCTAGTCAGGCACTGCCAGCTGCCTAGGGACATCGAGGCCGCAAATGAGCCGGTGCCTAACGGTCCGCCGAGTGATCCTCCCAGCGAGGGTTAAAGAAGAAGTGAACTTCCACCAGTTCTGGCGTGCTAGCGGCTAGCGCCAGAGCCGGTAGAACCCAATTCCGTCCCACGCCCCCATGGGGGCGCCCCTGGGCCCCATGCCCATCACCGATGCCGCCGCCGTCGTTTTTTTTTTTTGTAAATTGACCTGTATGATGTATTGAAATATACACTTCTTACATGCCTTTTTTACAAGTCTAGAGAACGGGAAGAGAGCGTCGGAAACACATTCTGAGTATGTTGCGAACACGTTGAGAGGGCGTTGCGAAAATGTTTAGGACGTTTACTCAGGGTCGCAGGGACGGCAATACGAAGTAGCGACAACGTGGTGCGCACGTGATAAAAACATCGCAGAGACGTTGCCAAAGCGTTCTATACTCCTTGTAGTCACGTTGCGGAAACGTGGTGACAACGTTCCAGAAACACTGTTGGTACGTTACAGAAAACATTTCATAACGTTGGCGGGACGTTGTAAGAACAGTTTTGGGGCGTCACGGCCACGTTACAGAAACGTTGTGATGACATTCAAATGCATGGTCGGATGACGCTGTCACGCCGTTGTCTGGAGTCTACAAAATTACGTTGTCACAATGATAAATCGGGACGTTGTGGTAACCATTTGACAACGTTTAAACGACGTTGTAACAACGGCAAATTGTTAGCTGGGAAGCTGGGCTGGCGTCTATTTTCGACATCCGTAGATCGCCCAATCTTGATATCTTGATCGAACAACGGACAGGGATCAAAGGTGTGCCAAATGCGGTGAAACGATGAACGGAGAGAAGCAGACAGAATGTGGAGAGAGGAAGAGAGAGAGAGAGAGAGAGAAAGAGAGAAAGAGAGAGAGGAGAGGGAGAGAGGGGAGAGTCCGCATGGCCGTGTCAGCCACTGACAGCCGCCCAGCCGCCCATCCCCTCCCCGCGTGAGGTGCCGCCGATAGATCCGCGCCATACGGTAACGGCCGACCCCAGTGGACACGATATGAGCTCACATGTCACCGAGATGGGCCGGGTAGACGGACGGCCAATAGCCACCGGTAGTGATTCCACGGGCCGTCCAGCCGAGCCGTCCAATTAATTGGCTTTAATTCGCTGGTTAATTATTCAACAGTATTTAAAAGCCGGTTTGGGTTATTTAGAGATTGAGGTACACAAATCCGGCAGTCCGGTGCTGTTCAGGCTCGAAGGTATTATTAGCGCTGCTGTTGCGATTTCCCGGAATCACGGAGGGTCCCAGGTGCGGGCCGCCACGTGGCCCTGCTACTGATGTGATCTCGATGGAACTACGTCCACCGTCTGTCGGTAAATTACAGCCGACGCAGAAAGACTCCCAAAGAGGAAGCGGGAACAAAAGCAAAGTTTT